ATGATATGATATGATATATGATATATGATATGATATTGTATTATATTATTATTATACCAAGCCCAGAACTTCTTTCCTTTCAGCTGAAAGAAGTAGGAGGTGATGACAGATTTCTTACATTCTGAGTTTAGAAAATGATCTAACATGTGGAGGGTGCTACTATATATCGGTATTACTGGATGACTGTAAACTCAATTTTTTTTCCTTTTCTTTATTTTAACAGATATTTAAAGATACTGTCAAGAGGAAATACAGAAAAAAACAGAAAAACAAAAAGGTAATAGAAAAGAGATTTACAAGCTATATAAAATTAAATTAAAATGTCAAGGTAACATTAAATCAGTGCAGCATATTAAAGATACTTGCATTGATCTGAGATTTAAAAACTATTATCAATATCAAATCAATATTGAATAACTAAGGTAGTCAATATAAAGTTAATCATATCAGAATGAACTATTAACAAAAGTTTCTATCAAGTGTAAACATTCTATTCTCATTTAACAATTGAAGCAGAAATTAATATATTAAAACCTCAAGTTCAAGAGAAATCCAAACTTGGAATGCGGTATAGGTGCATATGCAGAATTATAATCCATAAGTGGTTTCCAAGTTCAATTCAATTCTGTGTCAGACTTATTTTTCAGGTATAAAGTTATTTTTGACATAAATGCATAGTCCTACACTTTGCCATTTTTGTAAAGAGGGAATTATGCATGATTTACAATAAAAGGCATAAAGTGTCCTGGAAACCAACCAACCTTTATTTATTTATTTATGTACTGAATGTATACAGCACAAATTTATACAGAGCCTACTTCAGTATATGTTGTAGAAATATAAGGTTTAATTACATTTAACAGAAAACAGCTAACAGGAAAAATAATATAACCTTTATTTTTTAAAAAATCTATAATAAATCATCTTCCAGAATTGTTGGGCTTTACAGTACTGCCAACAAACATGAAAGAATGATACAACCTGATTATTGCATTTCCAACAGTTTTAGAAAGTGAGATTTAATTGTCTCTAGATGTAGTCAGGAATTTATACATTTTTTTCTCCATAACTTTTTAATTAGACAACAGGTTTCAAAATGATAGATTTCTTACAAATTTCACAGTATAATACAAATCAAGGTTTCTTCCAAGTGCAAAATTATACTGAACACCTCAGGCTGCATAGGGTAAATGAGACTGGATGGAAAGGAAGGAAAGATGTTTGGTTATGCATGTTGCAAAAAATCATATTGCTATTTAAATGTCCATATGATATATATAATCTTTTCTGAGTCAATGATTGGCTCAAAATTATGAAGAAAAACTACCAAGATGAAAATAAAGAAAATAGGAAATGCATATTAATGTAAGTCAGTAGAGCATCAGAAGCTACCTTATATCAAGCTCAGTACGTCTAGGGTAATAGCAAAAAGTCTGAAAGAGGAATTGGAGGATCTCTTATGCTTCACCACTTGTAACATCTTAAAGGTTCCTTTCTCCACTCAGGGAATTCATCTCATCTAATCCACCTCTCTCAAAGCAATTATACTTTTTTCTGTGTACAGGCATTTATTTATTTTAAAATCATAATGTTATTAGCTCTGTTAAAACTCTTCCCATCTCAAGAGAAGCAGACATCAGTCCAGGCTTTTATTATTGAGCAAAATTGCTTTGTGTTCTTCAAAGTGAATTACTTTTCACTCTTATTTGGTTCCTAATAATATTGTGATATGATCCTATTAACAGCCTTCACCAACATAGTAACCCAGATATGGTGGACTAATTTCCAATTTTAGTTGTACTGGTTGGGGATAATGGGATCTGTTATCCACATCTAAGGGCACTAGATTGGAGAAGGAAGTCATTTATCATCTCATAGCTCCCTCTGATACCTTTGTAAGATTGCCTGGAAATAACACTGGTGAACAGAAATATTGGGTTATAATGACAATCTTTCTTAAATTATGGGATGGTATGACATTTTAATGGAATAGAGCAATAGAACAAGAACCACCAAAGAGCAAAGAAAGGATGCGGGGGGGAGGAGGCAGAGACACACATAGAGATATGTCTACTTCTTAGCACTAAAGTTAAAAAAAAAAAAAAGTTATTCTGTCTATGATAAATTTTGCAGCATACCCAGGTTTCTCTTACAATGCTCATAAAGATGACCACAAGAAATACTGTAATCAGATCCCCAGAGTGTGATATGCCTTTAATGTATTATAGCTAAGGTTGTGTAGTGCACCAATTTGGAATATCCCAGATTTTACTACATCATTTATCATAGAAATGGACATCTCTGCAGTAAGTCTAGGACCATTGGAATTTGGATAAAGTAAGAACCTGACTACAAGGAAACTTCTACCTTGGAATGTGCCAAAACAATGTTTATGTTTGGCACATTAAAGTGCCTACTCTGGGACTTTTGTACTTTATACTCACATTATTTTATTTTCTTGATAAGCCAATAAACAGTCTTAGTTTGTGATATAAAGATCTAATTTCTAGGAGCTTTTATCTCCTTACACAAATGTGTCATAGCAGATCCCCCTTGCCACTTCAAAAAGCGGTAAATACCATTTTGAACCAATGGCACTGATAAATGTTGCTGTGCCATCCCAATTTTCTTGACAAATTTCAGGAACAGAGCTGCAAGGTTAAGCTTTTAATATTTGGATAATATTTATTTACAGATACACAAGCAGAATATAATGGAAGCAAATAGTCTTCTTTTTCGCAAGCATCACAGTTTGTAATTCTGAAGTTTTCCAGAGAGGAAAATTACTCTTAATTCCAGCAATTTGCAAGCTGCTGCCAATTAGAGAAGGTGATTTTACCAAATAAAGTTTGGTATCACACTCAAAAGAAATAAAATTTCCATTGCTTAAAGATTATCATCCTTTGATGAAATTTCAGATAGTCATTCTAAATTATGAACCAGTCTTAAACAGGACAAAATATCCCATGTTCCCATAATCTGAACCTTCTAGCAGATACTCACCTTGGAAAGGTAACATTCACAAATGAGGTATATTTGGCATATACCGTCATTGGTGAAATATATGGCTATTTGACATGAGAAATACTTTCTATGTCAACTTTATTAAATGCACTTGTTTACAGTTACTCATATTCACAAATCAAGAAATATAAGTAATTAAAATTCAGTAAGTTTGATCCACATTTTTAACAGTACTTTTAGATACTGATCACAGGACGTAGACCCTGTTCTATACTAGTGCAGAAGATGAAATAGACACCTTTACCAGTTAGGATGTGTAAATTACAGAGGAATCTAGGATTCATTTGGATCAAACAGTATAACACATCTCAAGCTTCCAGATTTACATCCTTTATTTGGAAGACTAAATATTTTGTTTCCTAATTCAAGAATGTCTTATGAATGCAAATAGTATGTTTGTGTGCAAAGTATATTGCCAGTCCCCTTTAAAAAAAAAGCACATATTTTATTTTTAATGCTATCTCCTGCTCACAAATACATTCTGATTTGCAGTGTTATTTTGACCACATGATGAATCGGGACTATTAATGAAACCGTTACTACCATTAGACCAAGATTATATGTCAATTGAAAATGCACAGTCTGCAATCCTGCATACAGCTGGCTGCTTAAATTCTCAAAGACAACATGCCTGAAAGAGCAGAACTACATGCTGAATAAAAGTCTTCACTTATAGCAACCAATACAGATTTATTTGCATTTTAAAAAAGAATCCAGAATGAACTGTAGCTTTGTTGTATGCTAAAACTTAGAACAAGTAAACAAGAAAAACAAAAAATAAAAATGATTATGACATGTAGAAATGCCCTGCTAACTTTGAAAGCAGGAATACTGAGCATAAAAAAGTTTTTCTTTCACTACCGTCTGTCAATAGTAGAACTAATTGAAAACTTCTAGATTTAAAACAGAGCTGCATGTAGTCTCTATCTTACTCTACCTATACATCAATAGGTCATTCTCAGTTAATTAAGTGAAGGCGTAATCAGCTTAATTTATGTACTCCAAAGCAGTTAATGATATCTTAGTACAGTACCTGACGTTTGGCCTGCCCATAAAACTTGCAGGGTATTCCAAGTCTATTCTGCTGCTCTCTGACTTCAGTTCCTCATATATATTTTTTGCATATTTCTTGTCCATCTGTTCATGCTGAAAATAAATCAAAATTCCTGAAGTAAATAGCAAAAGGGAGCCTTAATTAAAATAGTAAGCTACAATAATGACATTCTTATAATGCATAAAAATCTAAATAAAACAGTAACTTGTTATGGCAAAAGATATAAATTAGCAGTAGCGAAGACATTTAGCATTGCTTATAAGGCTAAGACTAACACAGAAACAAGACTAAGAAGCTTAGAAGTTTTTAAGAAACATATCCTGAATGCTGGTTGCTAAAAAGAAACAGTAAATAAGGATTGGGCTTAATAGTTTTATAAGTGTCTGAATCCCAGAGGTTCAAAATGTGGTACCTAGATGAGTAGACCATCATTTTTCTATTGCAGCAGAAAACGCTTCCTTCTTGCCATCTCTGTAGCTTGTCTTCATTTTACTGAAGCTGCAAGTTTACACACAAAGACAAACCACAATGTCAACCAATTGGACCTCACTTAAGGAACCGAGGCGATCGATTCGTAAAGCAAAGAATGAACAGGACCCCATTTCTGAAGTACGTTGCTCAAACTGCTCTTTCATTAAAAGATGCTCTCTCTTATTGATTTTGGCTTAAGTAATGAGAAAGCTTATCCAAAAATCTTTAGCATTTGGGCTCAAGTTAAGGAAATCAATACAGTCATTTCCCATTTGAACTGCATATGTGAATTTTATGTACGAGAGACAAGACAAAGCCCAAATCAGATAAATCAATAACATTGCCAATAGAACATGAAACTGACAAATGGCATTTTTAAGCAATTAAAGTGAGCTGTAAACACAGAGAGGTTAATCAATTACAATGTTTGGCTATTAACAGTTTTTAATTTGTATAAATATTATATACTAAAGTGATTCCTGGTAAATGAGGTGATGGGTTTGGCTTTTACCCAATAATATAACATTTATTGCAAAAGGGTGTAGAGAATAGGGTCAGACCTACATTTAAATAATGTTGTACATTTTCCATAATTGAAATGGCATGTGGGAATGACCTGGGGAGACAGGGCAACGAGACACAGCCAAGGGAACGGTCAAATAAAAGGCAGCTTAGCCCACAGTAGGAATGTGGGTGGGACAAGAGACTTAGAAGAGACCCTCCCTAGTGTCTTGGGCTGTAAAGGAGATGGGGAGAGAAGTACTTTCAGACTTGCAAAATTGATGTTAGCCTTATGAGGTAGACTAAACAGAAACATGACCAGATGAACTAATTCTACTTTATTGTAAAGTTACATTAACAGAATCTTGCAGGTCTGAAAGTACTTCTCTCCCTGTCTCCTTTACAGCCCAAGAAACTAGGGAGCGTCTCTTCTGAGACTCTTGCCCCACCCACATTCCTGCTGCGGGCTCAGTTGCCTTTTATTTGACTCTTCCCTTGGCTGTGTCTCATTGCCCTGTCTCCCAAGTTCATTCCCACCTACCATTACAATAATAAAGGAACTACGTAAAATATGTTTTAATATGCAACCGAAGTATGATCAATAAAATGTAAAATTCAGGATTCAAGAAGTTATTGCACGATAAGACTGATCCTCTTTTTTTCAAGTACCATTCCTAAAGGTTTTATAAAATACAATACTATACCTTTATTCTGAACATAAATATTAATCACATTGATTTGCCAAATGTTTCCTTTCCATACGATACCAATAGAACTACGAGACACACTAAAGTCTCTCACTTTTTCTAGTTTGCTGAACTGGTTCTGAAATCTGTAATCTAATATTTGTGGAAGTCTTAATGGTTTTTGTAACTGAGTAATAAAATCTAGCTAAATGATTGTTCAATGGAAATAAAATGCTGACCTCAGCAATAGCTGGCAATTCTTCTTCTAGGAGTTGGGTGGAAAACTTTAAGACTGAAAGCCAATCTATGACTTCCTTTTTCATAGCAGGTGGGGGTCATGACATAGTGAGGCTATCAGAAAGTAAACAAAAAAAATTCAACTTTCCCCAAATCCCACGATAAAAAGATGTCACCCCTTTTAAAATTTGTTTACAAATTACAAAAAGTAAATCACTTTGAAAGATTCAAATTGTGGCAAGAGATGCAACTGGAGTTTAGTAGCCCAATGTGGATGGTTCTCTAGAGGCTATAAACAGACTCTGTGGGTCCTGTTGTGTCCAGGGGCTGGCCATCCAGATACAGATAGATACAGATGGAAAGCCTAAAAAGAAGACTCTCTTCAGTAGCTAACAGGCATGCTGACTATATTAGCATATAAAACAATCATATGCATTATGCCTATAGATATTAGTGGCAAGAGATAGCAACCTTCCAATAAACTGTTTGTGGTTTCCCACGAATATCTGGTTGGCCAGTGTAGGAAGCAGAATAAACTAATGAACATATAACACTATATAGTATAAACTTAGCAATTTTGTATATATTGCTCCCATTATATAGATGTGATTTCACCAGCAAATGCAAGCATGTTTTTTGGTCACTTCGCATAGCACCAACTTCACCTGTACACATTAAGATGTAGAGCTATTTGTGATCATTGGGTTGACTCTCAAGTATCAAGGATGAATAGTCCAATCTCCTCTTCTCTAAAAGTATTTTGTTTGGGTATTGGTCCATGTATCTTTCTTGACTTTCTCTTGGCCTTTTGCCTTCCTGGCACAAGAATGACTTTCAGCAGCCAGCTTCTTCACTTTCAAGATGTTCAGTGTACTTTTCCCTACCTGAGGAACTTTACATGACTTAGAGAAACCGTAGCCTATGCAAAATTGCTTAAAATTTTGTCAATTCTTACTCAAAGGGATATTAGCAGATTCTATGGTTTTATATCATTTATCTGACACAAGCTTGCAAACAAATAGCTTAAGTAACTGTGCTCTCAAAGGAATTGTAAAGGACAAAATCACAATAGATTTATTGTTGTTGTTGTTTAGTCGTTAAGTCATGTCTGACTCTTCGTGACCC